ACAAAGCAGAAAACCGCGTGACAATAGATTTCAGCAACACAACTTTACTTATATGAGACGTCGAAGTGAAGAGTTTGATATAGTCCAATTCCAAATCTACCAAGCACATGTTCTTCACTAGAAATTCCACAATCTTTATTTTCGTTGTGTTAACCAGATTTCTAACTGAAAATGCAAAATCAATATGTGAGCCCTAAATTAAATAATCCCCTCTTCGACAAAATTCCTTCTCGTCATTTTTCKTTACAGTTATTACACATATTTTCTTACTATCGCGTGTTGATTTTCGCAATCCAACAGTTGAAGCTCTGCCATTCACTTATTGGCGCTTTCTCTTCTTCTTCTTCAAGCTTTATTTCTTTATGTGATTTTCGAAGGAAAACAAAATAAATGAATCTGGAATGCATTTCCAATTGGTTTGAGTTTCWAATTTTGCAGTGAAATTTCCTGATTCATTGCTGAAGGTTTAATGTTTTCATGTTGATTTCGACTCTGCAAATGAATTTCCGACGACAATGAGACCTATCACGAGCGTGTAATTCCTTGAAAGTCCGACGTGGATGGCGCCTGGAGGCGGACCAAGGGAAGTCGTGCATCTGATAAGGTCGAGAAAGGCGGGGACTGAGCAGCATTTTTTTTTTGCTTTGTAATTATTTTTTTTAATCTTGAACTGGTCCAAGTTTGAACCCGTTCAGTATTGAACCGACATGCACCTTATTTTTAACCGTAAGGATTAAATTGTTATCAATTTTAAAGTACAAGAATTAAATCGTTACTTGAATGAAAGTTCACGAATTAAATATGTTTTTTAACATTTTTATTTTTTTAGGTTAGCCGCTTTCCTTCGTTCGAGCCCGCGTTGGCACTTTCTTTTTAATTTAATTTGAAGTTTGAGCCGATAAACCAAATCTTAAATGTTAAGAATCTTACTAGCTAATTGTAAATAAAATTATTGAAAATGTATGTGTTATTCCCTCGTATCATTTCCATTATARCTGAGCTTAAATATGGCAACCTGGCGGAGCTAGGTGACAATTCCTTAACTTTTTTTTTATTAGAAAACGTTTTAATTCTTTTTTTTTTATTTATAATCGGCCTTTTTAAAGTTTGAAATATATTTATAGAAATTAATATATTGTTAATATTGTTATATATAATAATTTATTATTTAAATATTAAATGGGATGGGGTTGGGGACGAGAATAGGGCGGAGAACCTCGATTAAAATTTTTAATTTGACCTCGTATCCGATCAAATCAGGGATTTCTCAATCCGAATAGGTTGGACCCGCAGGGATCCAGCCCCACGAGTTCTTTTGCCATCCTAGCTGAGATAGCTCGTTCCATTAAGTGAAGATTTACCGCTGTTCAAGGTGGGCCACGGCCCAGTAAATTTCAAGCACGTGGATTCAATTCAATGTGGCCCGAGAAAGGAAAGCCCACTTAAAATGGGCTTCATCCATGGCCTGGATAAGCGAAGGCAGCCCATATTGAAATTCTAACTCAGCATCACAACGACTTGTATAAAAATTTTCTGCAACTCCAATGTGAATATATTATATACTAATGAAATCCAAAATGTGTATATAAATAATTCCTTTTTAATTAAACCAGAGTGAAAGATTCGGACTTAATTTAACCTTTTTTTAATAGAAAAACCTAATTTAACAATTTTTTTTACAAGTCGGGTGAGAATTCGAACTCATGACTTTTTAGTTAGAGATAGGTGTCAATTGCTGCTGATCTAAGCTCATGTTTGTTTAATTTAATCAATTGGACTATGCTCATGTTAACAAAAATCAATATTTATTGAACTGATAGTGACAATATCAAATCTTTATAAATAAGTTGAATAAATGTCATCTTAAATTAAAATAACTAGAATCTAAGTAGATAATTACATTTGAATAATATCATGAAAGTGAGGACTCGAACCTCTAAACTTAAGGGATTAATACTATCTTGTGAGGACTCGAACCTCTAAACTTAAGGGATTAATACTATCTTTTTTAATACAATAACAATAAGAGTGAAGATTCGAACTTACAACATTTTGATCGATGATATATGCTTTAAGGGAGATAAGTACTTACTACTTAAGCTCATGTCACATAGATAATCACATAAATATATCACTAATATAGTTGTAAAGTTTAAAGATGAATATTTTTTTCCTCACATTATTGCAYCCAATATCTTTTCATTACGACAATGTGCCATAAAAGAAAAAATTAATTCTAAAATTAGAKAGTTGAATTAAGGAAGGAACCCMTTCTAAATAAAATTAGGCAAGTGAATGAATATAAACGAACCATTCTACTCTCGAAAGGGTGACAACGTAGCACATACTAAGAAAATTGATTAAAAATAATAATAGAAATAAAGTTTGAATTATTATTATTATTWTTWTTTTTGAGCTACAACCATAAAATCGTGTTGACTTGAGTTTAAAGTCAATAATTGTATATGGTGGTCAACGATTTTACAGTGTATTTATTTATTTTTCTTTTTGTATTACGTCCCCTGACAGCTAGAATTTCCACGTAGTATTCCAAGAAGAAATCTATAACTTAAATATTTAAGAAAAACCAATAAAATAAGAAGCAATAATGTAGATTAAAATTTAAAAATGAGAGAAAATCCACGCGGGCCCCACATTTGACGTGGCAGCTAGAAACGACACCGTCCGTCGCGGCTATACGTTACGTATTGTTACCGGCGGGGGCCCAAAACAGAAAAGTCAACGGGAGGCGTGGACCCGGAGTCGGGTCAACCAAGACCGGGTCGAAGTCAAGATCGTGAGGCTACACGGGTCAAATCACCCGATCGAAATAAAACAGCCGGACTTGACCCGACGTTTGAATTTTTCCGTTTCCTAAACCCCATTTTTTTTTCGATATTACTGTTTTTTCTTTTTCTAAAGATTCTTTTTATACTATTCTCAATATTTATTTTTGCTACGCCATTAAAGTAATATAAAACCTAAGAAAATTTGTATTAATCTGATTGAATCTTAAACTTGAATTAACTGTAAAATTAATAATAGTGTAATGCAATAAAAGTAAGTAATTTCTTTTTTAAAAATTAATACAATTGTGTTTGGAGTAGAGTTTGAGAATATTACATCTATTCACCGACATACCTAAAAAACAAAAATATCTATTATAAAATAAGAATATCTCATATGAAACGATTTTCTTTTTTGTGTCTAACAATATTTAGAGAYGCGTTTTGGGTGTAGATGAAAGATATTTATTTGTTTGCTGGCAAGGTTGAGTCAATTTTAAAGTTTGTCACCAATAAAAAAACAAAGAAAATAAAAAAGTTCTAAATTTCTTTCTAAATCTATCACATCTTTTAGCAAATGTGAATTTCTTTTTGTCAATTTTTTAATTTTSTTTTTGTTGTTTTTACTATGCTCAAACCAGCCCTTTCATCGTTATTTAAAAACGGTGGGAAAAAAAAAAAGGTAGAAAAGCAAATTACTTTAAATAAAATTATGAGAAAAATGAAGATAAAAAAGTGTGGCAAATGGGTTTACCAACATGTTTCTTTTTCTTGTGTTAAGCAATCAGAATTATTTGGTGGCTTCAAGAATTTCAACTTATATAAACCCAAAGTCAAAAAAGCATATTCTTCTTAGCCAAAAGTTAATGGAATTTGTTTAATATATATTTTTTGTAATTTTATACAATATAATTTCTTGTACTGTGAATTTTACGTTTCGTTAATTGATGGCTTTGGGCTGTGTTTGACGTTGTTTCTATAAATAATAGTTTTCTTTTCCCTACAAAAATTGTTTTACTTTATTTTGTATACTTTTCTATTACAAAGTTGTCATAAAATAAGACAAATTCTAATTTGAAAATTTTGTAAAGAAATGAAAGGATTATTTTATACTTTTCTTGTCTTTATTTAATCATATATCTAATATTTTATACGTGAATATAAAATTATGACAATCAACTATATCAAATTTAAAAAACTTAGCCATCTTGTTAACTTTTAAATTACTATATTGCTTTAGATTAAATTAAACTATTTGAGAGAATATAACAATATAAATATATATTAAGTGTCATATTGAATCCTAGATCATASATCAGTGACTATAATAGTTTGAACTAATTCACTTTTCATACTTTAAAATTTTACTCATAGTTTGAACTCATTCACTTTTCATACTTTAAAATTTTACTCAACATTTTTTAACCATTAGGCTAACTCAAGATTGTTGAAATGCATTGAAGTTTGAAATACTACGTGTTTTAAATTTTTAATTTGATAAAATAGATCAAATACTATACCCCATGAGATCGATAAAATATTTACTTATTTTATTTGACTTTAGCACGTAGTAACTTACATGGTACAAAATTTTATGGTATTGTATAGAAAATGGACCAAGCTCATAAAAAATTACTATTTCTGAATTCAATATTTCATTAATTTGGACTTGCGTGTGGGTTGATTAGTGTGATTCAAGGTTGAGTGTTGATATCCAATTCCTAGGAAGCAGTTTAGGTGACAACACTTAGTGTCCAGGTCGAATTTCTTATTGTCAGTTTGGGTGTTTGACGGTATTCGCAGTTCTTGCCCCAAATTATAGGGATCCTCTGGTGAAGCCACACGGCACCAATTCTCGATTATCCACAAAAAGGGAAAAAAAATTCATATTTCATCATTCTTTTAACGTTTAGCGTTTATAATGATTTAATTGAAACAATTTGAATGTATAAGACCATTAATTTCTCATAAATATTGCTTAGATTCATTTGATAATTTTACTTTTTCCCTATTTTTATTGAGAGAAAAAGAAAAAAAAAAAAGAAAAAAGAGTTTGACATTTCTCATTTATTTTGTCTTTAAACCTCATATATAATGTTGAGATCAGCACTCTTTAAATTTGAAAAAATAAGATGTGTTTAATAGTTACCAAATGGTATATGACTTCTAAAACATTATAGAAAAGAATCCAAAAAATGAAAACATTAGAACTTATTCTTCCAAATTCTCCTCCACAATTTCTCAATTACAAAAACAACAATTCACCATATATATATCATCTAAGTTGAAAAAAGGGGAATCATAAACTAGGGTTTCCTTTAGACCCACAAAATCCCAAAACTCATTACATAATATCATACCAATCCCAACCCCTAGTTAAAAGCACAATTAACAATCCAATTTTCCCTCTTCCAACTTTACCCTTGACAAATACCAAAAACCCTTCTGTTTTTTATATATATATATATATATATATCAATAAATAATTTTTCTAGACTCTAAGAAGTTCTTCCTTTTAGGCTCACGAGAGGTGATGTATTCAAGGAAAGTTTCAAAATCAGTGTCTTTATAAAGCTTTGGATTCTCTTCATTCACAAGCTTTGGCCATGGCTTGATTGTGGAGTTGAAAGGAAGGCTGTGCAGTGTTGCCACTGAGATTCTTGGCCTGTCTGCATTCACCACTACCCTGTGAAGAACACTCTTGTACCTTCCATTGCTGAATATCTGTCGTGAAAAACAACTTCATCAGTTCCCCAAATTCAAATAAATTTCTACAAACGCAACCATAGTTTCATCCAAAAACCCTTCCAAATTAGTTCGGAGCAATATAACAAAAGTTTATAATATACAGTGCTGATCCCCTTGTAGCTAGCAACTTGATTTTATTAATATTTATGTAGTTCCCATCTTAAAATTTTGTTAGGTCAATTTTCTTTTCAATGTAGGATCCTTAATATGCCTTTTCAAGATCGTAGTTTTTTTGACTCTTTGATCTTAACTAGATCCCATTTTTGGACCGGATACTCGTTTGAACTTTTGGACTCTAATACCACATTAATATACATGGATTCCACCTCAAAATCAATTGGAGAGGAGTTTATATTATAAACCCTTACATGGGATCCTTAACGATTTTGAGATGGAATCCTATGAATATTGATATGGTATGATTATAGTCCAAAAAACTCAAATGAGCATCCGATTCAAAAATGTGATCCGGACCAACATCAATCGAATCATCATCTTGAGAGACATGTTAAGGATCAGGTGTATTGAAGTCGTATCAAAAAATAAGTAGGAGAAAGGAAAAAAAAAAACCCCACCTCAAGATGATCACCGATGTTGACAACAAAGGAATTGGGCAAAGGTTTTACAGTGACCCATTTGTTTTGGAAGTGAATTTGAAGGCCTTCAACTTGGTCTTGAAGGAGAAGAGTGAGGAAGCCATAATCAGAGTGTGGTGGCATTCCTAGGGTTAGCTCAGGCTGTGGACATGGAGGGTAACAATTCACCACCATTAATTGGCTTCCATCTTCAAACTCCTTCACAATCTCCCTCTCTTCTTCTTTCTCATCCATAACCCCCAAGCTCTCAACAATGGCTTCCACCAACATCAGAAACAGGCCTCGGGTTTGCTGGGCATAGGCGGCGGCTGAGCCACGGAAGGCGGCCGGAGACGAAGGCCAGTGGGGGAGGAGGTGCTCCAAGTTGGGGTTGCAAGTCAGCTTCAGGAAGTCTCTCCAGCAGAAAACGTTGTCTTTGTTTTGGTTGAAACTTGTCCCGTAACGCACTGTCGCATGCATGTTGGACGACATGTAGTTCGCTCGCTCCTCGAATGGAAGCTCGAAGAACTTTGAGCATACTTCTCTCACGTTCGTTATCACTTCGCTTGAAATTTCATGGTTTATCAACTGCGTATTATCAAAATTTTCTATTATAAATTTTTGTTAGGTGCTTTATCATTTCAATATTTGATGTTTAATATAACTTGTGTCCTACCCAATCTTTATATTTTAAAAATATATTCGTCAATTTTCAAATTTGTGTTAGATTATTCACTTTAGTTCCTACCAAATATTAAAGATATGATTTATTAGATACAAAATTAGAAAACTAAAAAATTTAAAAACCTAGAAAGAGTATAAGGATCAATTCTTTACCTGAAAGAAGCCAAATTCTTGGCAGGCGTCGCTCAGACAACGGAGGACTTGTCTACGATTGGGGCCAAGGAGCTCGGCGAAGTCAATGACGGGCAGCTCAACGGTGCCAACGACATTGAGGACATGGCCACCATCAGGTTGGCACAAGTCGGGACGCTCCGAATTGGGAAGCACATACTTAGAAGGGAGCTTGCTCAAGCCGTTTTCACACAGATGCTTCACTCCCTTTTGGAACATCTGAACTTCAGATGCAATGGCCTTATTGTTCTTCTCAGCTGCCATTGCCGGAGCCATAATCTTCAAAAACAAAACTACAAAACAAAACCCTAAAAAAGACACAGAAAAAACACAAAGTGGCATAAAGAGAAAGAAGAGAGAAATAAATTAAGAGAGAATAATGCTCCCACCTTGGGGATTGTGTTGAGTGTTTCTGTGGAGAAATGGAGGCAAAGTTTGAGATTATATATAGAGAAGAGAGAGAGGGGAAAAAGGGCAATTTCTGGGAAACCAGAATTGGTATTATTTGTGAATCAATGGGAGGGAAAAATGGAATTAAAAATGGATTAGAAAGCGTTGACAAAATCCAGTCAGAAGCTGTTGGAATTGGAAGTGGTAGGGACAAAGGAAACCCACTCCACAGCTGCTTAAAAATAGCTTCATTAATGGAAGGTGATATATATTATAATTTTATCTGTCTTCTTCTTATTTTCTCTAAAATGGCTGACTTTTTAGGGCACAGGGCATAGCCTAGCTAGGGCCCAGCCTTGGCTTTAATTTCTTCTTCATGTTTGTGTCTTGGGTCACATTGACATTGATGTTAAATTATGCATATTCAGTTCACCCGCCCGCCGAATCCCGACAAAAATTTGATGACGATTTCGTTTTTAGTTATTTTTAGGTACATTTGAGTTCTTAATTAGCTATATTTATAGAGTAAAAAGTGGAGGATTTATTTTGTTTTTTAAATTTAAGTTAGATGTGTTTATTAACTTAATTTTAAAATACCAAAGGGTTATCAAATGAGGACTTAAATATATGTCGACAGATTAATACTTTCATCAATATATTTTTTAAATTGAGAGGTTTTAGATTTTGATAATTTTAGTCAAAATGTAGTATTGAATAAGTTATGAGTAATATATAAAAAAAGAATGCCAGGTTCAATTATGATTTGTGAACTTATAATGGTGTGTTATTTAGTCGCCTTTGGGGGAAATACTTACATAAGAAGAGATATGAGAATTCTTTTTATAAGAAAAATTAAAAGATTATCAAATTTCTAATTGGAATGAAATTTACTGTTCGGCCAACAAGTAGGCAAATATTATACTTTCTAATTTAAAAAGTTTTAAATGAGTCATTTTAACGTTTTAAGGTTGTATCTATATAGTTGTAATAAATAAAATTTATAATAGGAAGATTAATTTTATGCATAATAAGTCATTGTGTTAACTCCATTAATTTAATGATTATGCCTCGCTGAACTATCTGAAATAAATATGTCGTGTAATCTTTAAATGATACAAGGTGTCCCAAATCAAATTCCATTACCCGACACAAAATTGAATATTAAAGAACTCTATTAATTTTTTTCTTTTCAAGTATTAATGACCTATTAGTAGAACTCTGAAAGTTTGGAATTAATTGGAAACTTAAACGTATAAGATCCAAATAGTTACAACTTTAAAATGTTATGCATCTATTAAAACTTGTATAATTTAAGTCAAATGTTAATATATATATATAAGTATCACATAAATATAAAATTGAGACATTTCTTATCACCTTCCATGTTTAGTCTCTTTCTAACTTTCTATTTTCTTCCCTTTCTCAGAGACAATTTCAGTTAATATATTGAATCTAAATGTCAAAGCTTGGTTCAATGTCGACATCTTTTTTTTTTTGGGATTTTTTTTCACAAAAACTTTTCTGCCTTCTTGTTATTTCCTTTTTTTCTTTTCTTTGAATTCTAGTTTTCAAATCCACTTTATCAACTCGGTTGGAATTTTCATCTTATAAGTCCATGAATTTCAGTGTCGATATCGATCAAAATGTCAAACTCTCACATTTATATAGTAACATCGAAAGTGAGAGATATTTCAAAATTGACAAAATTTTATTGTAATTTATATGTAAAATTTAGACTTCACATGTAGATGTACAAAAATTCTACAAAATTTTGAGAAGTATTATCTTTTGAATATCAACAAGGGAACTCTTCAATTTCACAGATTCCATGAATAATAGGCTAAAATCAGATTGGGTCCACCTTCACAAGCCTTCACAATACAATCAATTTTGTCTTCTCATCTCTAATACATAGTAGCTAGTCATCTATATGGTGAGTGGCAATGGTATATATGCAATTTTTATGTTCACATGTTTTTGTTATTTATTTTTGGTTAAAAGATATGATTTTGGTCTCTCTGCTTTTAGCTTTGGTTTTGGTTTAAGTTAGTCCATGTGTACGGTCCCTTAATTTTATTAATCTCATTTTTCTATCATGATTTAAACACGATGCAACACTAAATATATTTATTAAAATGTAACCATGAATTTATATTAAATGGTTTTTGTTACGTGTATGATTTATGTTAAAAGTTTGAAAATCGAGATCAAATTGGTCACTTTTTAAAAGTACAGGTACTTGAGAGTACATGGACTAAAATAAACAAATTTTAAAAGTAGGACCAAAACATTCTAAAGGTATAGAGACAAAAATGAACCAAAACTAAAAGTACATAAATTAAAATAGCATTTTTATTTTTATTTTTCATAAATTAAATATTTAGAAAAGGTAAAAGTTGATGCCATCAATATTAGGAAAATGAAAAATAAAAAGAAAAGAAAATCAGTTCCTATTTAATAACAATTTTAGGTTTAATTTAATTTAAAGTTGAAGTAAAGTAATCTATTTTATTATGTCTTTATTTTGTTTTTTATTTTATAACCATTTCAAATTCTAGTCAATTTAGAAATAAAAAAGTATACATTTCAAAGAATTTGTTTAAGATTTCAAAAGCAATTTCAAGATTTGATTAGAAATAAAGTTACCAAACAAGTTTTTTTTGAAAGGATATAGTAACGAAAATGCAATGGCTTTAAGAGGTTAGCCATCAAAACTTTGGATTATTATGAAAATTCATCCTAATTATATATATATATATATATAATATGTCGCACGTGCCAATTTGCCAGTTTTGGTAAATCAAATTAAACCCTATTCAAATGAAAGAGGGAGGGCGTGTCTTAAATTGACCTTGCAAAGTTATTAAATTTGTTTCGTACATTGCTAGGAAGTTTCTAAGAACTGCTTTAATACAAACTAGTCGCGAATTTGAGCAGCAATTGATTAAGATATCTATGTTTAAATTTGACTCCGCTCCACATACTATTAAAAGATCGTTGGTTTGAATCCTCATTTTCATATGTTTTTTTAGAACACGTGGGATGGGGGATTTGAACTCACAACCATCATACATATGTGTCTTAAAAAAGAGTTTCCATCCACCCAATATCTATCTAAATTAAACCTTTTTTTACAAGTACAAAGAAACGAAACTAGGAAAAGAAAGTAGAACAATCAAGTAAATTAGAAATTTCTAAAGGACCCTCTTCAAGCCAAATACGATCCAAATGTCGAACGACAACCATTTATGCCAATTTATGGGCCACTACATTGCCTTCATAGTGTGTGAAGGTGAAATGAATCGAAACCAACAAAGAACAACGTCGGCGAATCTCAATAAGGAGGCACCCCACCTTAGACAAATCCTCAACATCCTGTGTGAGGTGCTGGAAACACCGGAGAGAGTCTGACTCAAGAATAATGGGCTCCAAAAACCTGCCTCACTCACTAGTAGAAGACCATGAGAAGTGCCCCTTTGCAAAATCAACTGAAGCGCAATGGGGAATGGACGATGATGCTGCCAAAAGAAGATGATTGTCGGCATTGCAAATGACCATCCCGATGCCCTCTCGAAGCAAGCCCGCGAGAAAACACACATCTGTATTTACTTTAAACCATCCATCTTGAGGGGCTGCCAGCAGCATAAACAACGGTTACCATTGGGAGTCACCATCTCAGGCTATTGGAAATTAGCAGACCTATAAGAGTGCATATAGTCTGATGGCCAACTCCCAATACAACCAATTGGACGTTCACTCAACATAGTATCTACACGATTTCGAGAATTCCAAATAGCCCACACAAAAATCGAGGCTCCTCAAGACTCAGGGACCAACAAAATATCCTGCCACTCAAATAATAAAAAGAACATACTCATCAACGGCCGGGCCGTGGACGTAGATATTAATACACACCCAATAATTATATGGCTTAAATATATGCCAACATTGATATATTAATACACATAAATTCGAACCACATTGACCGTAAGTTAGATTATTGATAAAGAAATAATGGCAAAAATTAAAAATGGAGGGATGTTTCGAAAGTTTATAGATTCAAACTAAATAGATATTTTCAAAATGAATAATTCAAAAAATTAAGGAAACAAAATGGAATTTAAATCAAAATTTTTAAACACATGTGAGATGGCGGCCTATCTTATTTTATATTTTGGATTTTCTTGTGTTTATTAATTTGACAAGGCTGCTGTAAACCTTTTTTTAGAAAGAGAGAGAGAAAAGCTGCCTATTAAAGAAAAAAATAAATGTAAATTTAATATATTATGTTTATGGCATATTTTTTTTCTCGATTCAAAATTTCTTTAATTTGGTAGCTACCATCATAGGTATAAGTATTTGACATTTGAATCGATCTATAATATATAATCCTTTGCAAAAAAATCTATAATATATAGCATGTCAATTTATATATAAATATAGATCCTAATGAATTATGTAGCTTTAACTATCATACGTGGTTCATTTAAATAAAATGATTTAGAGGGGACAAACGTGGTAATATTTTAAACTTTATTAATAAATTCTAATTATATGTAAGATTTTCATATTTATGATCATATTTGTTCATAAATTAAAAGATGGATGATCGATTTTATCAAAATAAAATAAACAAAAACTCGAGTAAAAATCACACAAGAGGATTCAAATTCAAATGATTTATTCTCCTCTCTTGAATAGCCATTATTAAATTTATTAATTTAATACTAACTTATTTTAAATAAAACACTCTAAATAATCGAGTAGAATAGAAAGCAATTTAATAAATAAAATTGTTCCTAATTACATTTTACCAAAAAGAATGTAGGACTTCGACTTCAAAAATATTGATTATCATTACAAGGATTTTTAATCATATTTACGAATGAGAAAAAAAAAGGATTTATTTTTATTATTTTTATTACGTAGACAACTAAGATGAGTTCCTTGGATATATTGAACTATTTAAGTGGTATTTTCCACCAAATCATGTAAGATAAAATGCTATCAAGCATACATTCTCAACAGTAATT